TATTTATTAAAAAGTATAAAATAGCTTTCTCCCAAAATGTTGAGAAACCTTGTTGCTTAATTAGTGCCAATATAATAAGCATCCATATGGTATTTTTTCTTCTGGAAGTGGGTGGGAATGGTTCTAAGGGTATGGACTGTGAGCAATCCAGAACACATATTTTTGAAAAATTTTTCTGCTAGTAAGTATTCAGTAGTCTCTTTCCCATCACCTCCCTCTTACATTTCATCAAGAAAAATTGGAAAATTTCCTTTTTTAAAAATGAAAACTGATTTTACATTCTTTTGCCAATAACCACATTCCTCTTCAAGGAGGGCTGCTCAAATATGCAGATGGAATACACCAATGGAAAACCTAAGTGTGGCCTGAAACCAAGGCTCCTGATGAATTTCGGTGCCTATGAAGGTGACTTCTCTGGTTTTAAACTATATTCACTGTTCAGATCAAAGGGTGGGAGCTGCAGGCAGGCCATGGGAGTAACCGTAAAGTTGTGATGGTTGGAAGAAATCTGATTTACTGAATTGCTTGAGTGGAAAAATTTATTTTGAAACTTGAAATGAATCATCACAAACTCCATCAGGAAAGGAGTGCTTTGTAAAGTCTATCCAAAACCATGCAAAAATAAGCAAAGCAAAATTCTTGGAAGCTTTCTAAGGAATGAACAATGTACTCACACCTTCTCAAAAAGATTTCTTCCCAACAATTATGTGCCCAAGTGAACAGCACTGACATGTACTTAAGACTCTCACCATGGACAGTGAGGAGAGAATTTTGGTAAAATTCACTGTCTTTATGACACAACCCACATAGTATGAAACAATGACATGAAGCTACCCTTGTGACCTTGGTGCCTAGTCAAGCAAAACTCCGCAGGCTTTGAGTTTAGGGAAGTGTCTGAGGGACAGCTTCAGGCAGGACTGGGAGGATAGAGGGAGGCCTAAAGGCAACTTTCTATTAGACTAAGATCCCCTTCAATGTTTCAAAAGTGCCCCAGGTTGTCTCAAATTGGTGTCATGCTCCTATGCTACTCTGGGGGTGGGGTGAATACATTCTTCTAAATGGCAATTCTAAGTATAACAGAACTCATGTGTACTTAGGGCAGCAAATCAGTACCCATAAATAAGAAATCCAATCAGTTGCCATATCTTGGTCTTTTCAAACTTGCAAATTTTCTTGATTTCCACCACTGACTTCTCTATGACTCCTCCCCCCGCCCCCCCTCCCCCCCAGTAACCCCATGCTCTCTTGCCAATCTTACATGTGCAAACTCCACCATGTAACTCTGTGACCTTAAACCCTTCACTGAGAAAAAGTCCTCACCTGGGTTTTTGTGACCTTACCATCACCTAACTTCTTTACCCCCTTTTCCAGCCACTCCTTCCCACCATCCATACTCCTCCCCCTGTCCCCTGCCCATGCCATAGCTCACTTGACAAGGGGTGCTGTGCTGACCCCAGAGGGGAAGTTGGAAATGTGTGGAGACATGTTTTGGTTTATAGTTGCACAAGGGCAGGGAAAGAGGGGAGTGTCGATGACATTTACTGTCCAGGCCAGGGATGCTCAGTGTCCTGAAAGGTTCATGACAGGCTGAATAAAGTCTAGAATCCAGCCCCCACCCCACCCCCACCTCCACCCATTGGAAAGATAGTTGACCCCTGAATACAGGTTTGAACTATGAGTCTAGTTATACGTGGATTTTTTCAACAAAAACTGTAAATTTATTTTCTCTTTCTTATGATTTTCTTAATTACATTATTTTCTCTAGTGCATTGCATGCATACAATACATAATACATATAACATACAAAATAGGTGTTAATTGCCTGTTTATGTTATTGGTAAGGTTTCCAGTCAGTAGTAGGCTATCAGTAAATATATTTTTGGGGAAGCAAAAGTTATATGTGGTTTTTTGACTGCTCTAGGGGGTCAGCATCCGTGTTGTTCAAGGGTCAACTGGACTGCTGATGGCCTCTTCAGGTTCCTCCTCAGTGCAGGTTCTGTGTGCTCGCTTGGTCCTGGCCAGGAATGCTTTCTCCCCACCTTTCCTCTGCCCCACTTGATTGTGCCCTTCTCATCTTTCAAGAACTTAAATATTACTTCCTTCGAGAAGATTCTTGCTTGACCCACTAGACTAGGTTGTATCCCTGTATTATAAACTCCACCTGCAGTCGTAGACAGAGCATGCCAGTAATAAAACATTATTTACATAATTCCTGATCATCAACTCTAACTTTATATAAGCCCCCAGAGGGCAAGATAGGCCGAGTTTATATCCATTGTACTCACTGTCAGGGCATCATAGATATGTCATGATTTTGCTGAATAAATAAGTTCTCAAAACTTATTTCCTCCTCAATACACACATTCCCATCTCCTGGATTTAACCCTCCTTAAGCTCTACCCTGGAATACCCAGAGACACACCTAGTATCCTTGTCATCCACCTTCTATCATTCACATGATAGATTATTTTTTTCAAATTGCTCTGATAACACTCTCCTTGATCTAAATTCCATATTGACTCCTCAATTCCTAAAAATTCCTTAAGTCCCAGTTTCTTAACCTCACATTCAAAGCCCTCTGCAATCCAGCTTTTGCCTGCTTCCTGAAACTTTTCATTATCTTCCACCCTTGAAGCGATGAACTTCTCACAGCTTTCCACATCTGCCTTAAAATTCCCCACTTTGTCTGGCTCCTCCCTCCATTCCTACACATCTCAATCCTACTTGACTTCCAGGCTAAGCCTAAATGTTATCTCCCCTAACAAACTATTAATAATCCCAAATGAAAGGCATCTCTTTCTCAGCCCTCTGAAATCTGATAGCACTTTATCTGTATTTTATGTGAGACAGTTATTTTCTACCTTGTGCTGGAATTATCCACATGCGAATATAATCTCCCTCATCAGACTACAAACTCTTTGAAGATCAGACCTCATTGATCTATATCCCTAATATCCTTAAGATCTATTACAGTGTCTTGGACATAAATATTACATGAATTAATAAGGTTAATGAGCAATGATGTAATCATTTTTGCTGTGCACTAATAGCATTTAGCAATTAATTCTAAAATACTCATGCAGTTTGTTAGAGGAAGTCAACTAAAAAACAAGAAAACCAGTGGCCTTCCTTTGTTCTATGCCAAATACACAATATTTGCAATTTATTTCATCTTAAACTATTTCACCCAATAGGTCATTGTTTACAACACAACTGAAAAAATTCTCAGTGCTGAAGCCGTAATAAATATGATGATGATAATAATAGAAATAAGAAAAAAATCACCCTATTGGCTGACTGTCAGGCAAACTGTGAATTTGAGGGAAGCAGATAAGGGCAGCAGAAGGTAACTTGAAATTCACTTGATGATACATCAGGTAAATTAGTAACAGTCGGGAGTCTATCCTCTAAGCATACAGCACAAGGCAAATGAATGGATTTACGTAACAAAATCTAGTGAACTATAGCAATTCCACCATAAACTACAAGCCACAATCTCATACCACATAATCACAGCTCCGAGATTAGGAAACCAATGTTTTTACTGCAGAATGGGGCCATATTAGTTCCTTTTGAAGCAGGTAAGTGAATGACCATCTTGTAAAACTTCTCAGAGTCCAAAGACAAGCACTTCAGACTGAAACAGAGTGTAATGTCTACATGATAAGGGTACGGGGCCTGGAGGTAGTACTTGTGGTCAACCTGCACTATCTACTGTCTCTTCCTAAGCACAAACGGCTGGGCTCAGGGACCAAAGAACAGTTACCAAAACTGTCCTGGTGCTCATCAGACATATTGCTTCCCGTCTGCGGTCGCTCCTAATAAAATGATGGCTGCTTCTACCACTAAATTGTCAGAGCTGCTAAAACCAACCATATCCAACACTCATATTCGTAAACCCCTACAAAATCATTTCAAGATAAATTAAATCCACTATGAGTAAAGATGAATCACAGGAAAGCTTTAGAATTAAACAAAAATGATCACATTAGAACGTTCCTTTGGGGGTGGGGCTAGAAGCAGAACATTTTATTTTCTGATCTAGAGACTTAGTGACCCTCAAAGGGCCCCACAGAGGGCTCTGAATGTGAGGTCTGAGGAAATGGAAAGAATAGGTCATAGGGTAGAATAAACTGGCAGTGCATGCATTTTGTCTGTCAGGATTTAATAGGTTAATATCAGTGAGAATGAATCATATCTGCTTGAAGCACAGAACACATTGACACAGAAACAAAGAAGCTTGGAAACTTTATATTCTTTGGGTCTCTGAACAATCAAAGGCCTTGTCTAGTCAACATTTGGAGTAATTTTTCCCAGGGGAATTATCACTATTTGAAAGGGATGAAAGAGTAGCATTCTCGTGATACCTTTTTGTTTTCTGAGACTAAAAGCTGTCTCTGTGAGAGGCAACATTTGGATGTATTGAGAAGTGTGCACACATGCAGTCAGTGGCTTTTCTCAAACATCTTCTAGCTGTAGGGTAGACTACAACTCATTGGGAGCTATATCCTTAAACACACTTCAAACATTTGCTTGAAAAGTATATGTCAAGGAGAGAAGACTCAGGAAACTAGGTTAAAATTAGACTTCTAAAAGATTTTAGTTACTCTGCTTAAGGTTTGTGTAGCTTAGAAAATGAAAGCCCAAATAATTACCAAAAAATTTCAAACTCACAGGCAAGAGGCATTGATGTTTCATTATAGTACAGTGCTTTCCTTCAAGATCCTTGACTCAAACAGTTATTAAAAATAAAGTTTAGGATTCCTAGGATTTAAGCTCTCCAGGCAACTGGAAAGAAAATGGGTTTTCAGAGCCAGAGTGGATGAAACCTATGAGCTATAAACCTGAGACGAGGGCTCATTAGATTTTAGGGATGTTTTTCTCCTCAGATTTGTTCTTGTGATCTCTAGGTCTGCAGAACTGGGCAAAAAATTGTGAACAACTGGCAGGAGAGGGATGACAAGGCTACTTGCTGACAGTGGAAATCATGAAGCCATTACCGTGCTCCAGCGCCTTCATGGGAAACCAGAAGAGGATGAGGGAGTGGACCAAGGCGTTGATGCAGTGACCCCAGAAAACCTACGGGAAAACAAACCGAGGGTCAGGAACTGCCCACAACTCTGACTCAGTAACTCAACGGACGCCTCATCGCGAAGGACACGGGCAGCGTGCTGCACGGTTCCAGGAGTAGCATATTATTCTTGAAGTTAAACAAAACAAAACAAAACAATTTCCTCATTTTTTACACACAAATGACTGGATGATCTCCAGATACTATTATTTAGTACAAAGACCTGAATGTATATACACATGTACTTAGACCAATATACAATCTATCCACATCTGAAAAAATGAATTATGAGCTGTTTTCTTTAGAACCCTAAGAAAGACACCAAAATTTTACAAGCAAAGACAACAAAATCATCCAGAAAAAGGTTATCTGGTCAAAATTGTCAATAGGAGACTGAAACTGTGTGTTTTCTGAAAGCATTTAAAATATAATTCTTACACAGCATTCTCTTTTGTTTTACTCCTTTAAATCTCTCCATTCAACTTTTTAATTTTTAGAATTTTGATTAATATCATGCACATTTAAAAATTCTCTTTACCTTAACACTTGTAAGATCAAATAAAAGAATGCAAAATTTATTTTCTTCTAAATTACAGTTTCATAAATGCATTTAATCATCTGTTTAACCACTGAGATGATAGAACTACTAAAGCCAGATTAAATTTTCTTAAAAATTTACAGATAGATCTGGGAATTGTCATACAGTTTAATCCTAGGTAGGACAACATAAAATAATGAAAAATTATAAGACAAAGAGATTTTCCCATTTTAAATGTTTACTTTTCCCCTCACTTCTTTTTTTTTTTAAATATATTTTGTTGATTTTTTTTTTTTTTATATAGAGAGGAAGAGAGAGGGATAGAGAGTTAGAAACATCGATGAGAGAGAAACATCGATCAGCTGCCTCCTGCACACCTCCTACTGGGGATGTGCCCGCAACCAAGGTACATGCCCTTGACCAGAATCGAACCTGGGACCTTTCAGTCCGCAGGTCAATGCTCTATCCACTGAGCCAAACCAGTCAGAGCTCCCCTCACTTCTATACTCTACTCCCCCCACTTCTCAGATCTTCAAGGTGCCTGCAAATAAGTCTCAGATCCTTCTCAGCTCTATTACCTTTAAGGGTCCATTCCCTACTTATTTTGCACCTTACACAGCCTTTGAATTCAAACTCTGTAAAAAACAGATTTGATTTATGTAAATAATGCAGAAAAAATAGGCCATTGATAGATATTTCCCATTGATAGAATCACAGAAACAAGGATTGATACAGTCATCCAAGTCTCCTGTGTATGAAACATACCAGAACCAATAGAATTTTTTTTATTTCCCCCGGTCTCGGGCATGCTCCAAAATAAGGCAGCTCTGAAGGAAGGCTATCAGTAATACCTGGCTTAAAGTGAAGTCTTCAGACATTGTTCTCTTTTTGAGAATTTTGTATGTCTTCCTTACTAAGACTCCAGTGGCTACCAAAAAAATCATGTACACAACCAGAATCCAGTATTGTAACTGACCAGGGCAGTGGACCTCTGTATAAACTTCCTAATCCCCTCCTGCACAAAACCCGCCAGAAATGAGGCAATGCAGGCGCGTTCACAGCTTTGCCTCTTCCGCCAAGCCAGGCACATTCTTTCCTTCTGGCCGGTGGCAGCAACTCCCTGTCACTCTCAGCTGTGACTGGCAATCGAGTGAGACCCCCTCAGCCATCAGGACTGCAGAATCTCTGTGACACCTAACCCAGCTCTTGCTTGACTCTTGTCAAGATCGCCTGAACCTTTTTGTCTAATGTTTTTTCTTTTTTGATTCTCCATCCTGAAAAAAAAATACCCACGACTGACTTAATTTCTGTGTCCACATCTGGACAATTTTATTCACTAACTAAAGTGATATTTTCTTTTAAATGATAAAACAAGCAATGGTGGTAAGAATGCTCCAGCCTCCTAAGTGCAGGACTTTATGAAAGGGGAGGGGCATGTCTGATGGCTGATCCTAAAGGAACTGGGGCCATGGGTGCTCCTGGCCACATTGATGTCTGAGGCACATGTGGAGAAGAAGGAAGGAGTTGACAAAGAAGAACCAAAAGGAGCACCATGTATCACATGGCAACTTCCTTTCTGATTTGGCATCTCAAATTCACTGGGCTTCCTATGTTGGAAGAGGGCCCTGGTCTTACCTCATTCAACTATTCTCTCTAGAACTCATGGATATGGACAACAGTGTGGTGATGGTGGAGGCAGGGAGAGTTGGAGGTGGAAGAGGACATAGAAGGACATAAAAGGTGATGGAAAAAATGAAATAAATCAATTAAAAATATATTCTCTCGCCAGGCAGGTGTGGCTCAGTGGTTGAGTGTTGGCCTTTGAACCAAGAGGTCACTGGTTTCCAATCAGGGCACATACCTGGGTTGCAGGCTCAATTCCTAGTAGGGGGTATGCAGGAGGCAGTGGATCAATGTTGATTCTCGCCCATCGATGTTTCTATTTCTCTCTCTCCCTTCGTTTCTCTTTAAAAATCAATATTTAAAACAATATTCTCTCTGAAGCTTCAGTGATCTCGCAAGCTTATAACTAGAGCAGGAAGACAAAAAGCAGTGCTGACTCCTTTTTCAGGTAATGATTCTGTGATAACATTCTGTTTACCTTTGTGTTGAAGCCTTCAGCATTCTGGGTAATTTTGTAGAGCTGTGGAAACCTGAGCATGCTCTCCTGAGTGCAAGACCTCTCAAAGATTCCCAGAGTGAAGGGTGGTAATGCGGTGAAAATCTGTGTGGAGAACAAGGAGCCATTAAAAGAGACCTTTCCACTCACACAGCTCAAGTGTTTCAGTTCCATGGAATGATGACTTAACTCTCAGGCAAGTCCAAACCTGAGCATCAGTGATTCACAACTCTGAAGACACCATCCAAAGAAAATAAATGAAAGACCATTTTCAACTATTGTTTAATCAGCATAAAATAAATATACAGAACACTAAAAACAACATCGCAAACATTTGATTAGCCAAGAAAGCTGGTGAAATGAACAGCTACCTTTTTTGTGAGATGAGTGGTGATTTACAATTACACCCTCCTTAGCTTTGTGAAGTATTGGGTCTTCTGTTAGTGCTGGCGGAGGCACAATTTTACAACCCCCCCTCCTGATTTTATGATCAAGTTTCAGGAAGCATGATGTACTTCATTATTCATTTGGCAGACATTTATTGGGAGTGAATTATGGGCCAGATACTGTGATAAACCCCAGAAATACAGAGATACAAAAACAGAAGGGAAAAAAGGAGAAGAAGCAGGTCCCTGACCTCCAAGAACTCGGTCTACTGCAGAGGTGGAATGGGATAGCCAGCAACAGGCAAATAAACAAACATATAAAACACAGTGCTCTGCAAAATTACTCATGGGAAGAGTGGGGAAAGAGAAGAGGGAGTCAAGAAAACATTCTTGGACCAAAGAGCATCTGAACTGTAAGGCATTGTACCTGTGGAATTGGGCAGGATGGTAAGGGATGTGCATGAGAGGGGAGCAGAAGGAAGCACTCCCATAGAACCACACCCCTCACAAAGCCTGGAGGCAGTAATGCACCTGGCACATTTGGGTAGGGGCGGGGGGGTGGGGGGACATCTAAGACATCCAGGATGGTGGCTGGCTGAGGACTCAGTGCAAGACAAGGCTGGGAAGGTGACAGAACTATCTCCTGCGACAATGAGTTTTAGGGGAGGTAGTGCTTCCTATACTTTTACCTGTAGTACTCTAGAGTGGAGTGACATGCTTGTGTTTGTGTTTCAGAAAGAGAAAGCCAGATGCTGAAGAAGAGGTTGGAATAAATATATCATTTCAGTCTGGGAGGTGCGGTAGCCCCGTGGGTCATTCTCCTCTGTGGTTCCGGGCACACGGGTCACAGAGACTGTCTGGGTCACTCACTGCTTAGCATCAGCATTGAGCAAATCCACACCCACAAACCTGGCAAGCCCTCAAGCCCATGGGAACTATATGTGTGTCTCTGAGAGAACTCTGAATGCACCTCAGTTATGGGGAGCCTGAGAAACAAGCTTTTCCCAGTCTGCTGGGAGAGAGCCATCGGCAGTGTGGTGGAGGAAGGCCAACACAACTTGCAGGCTCCCTCCCTCACCTGGAGCAGATAGGAAAACAGCCCTGGGATTTCAGTGCACTACAGATTTCAAGGAGAAAAAGACCAAGAGTAGTTGCCCTCATTTCCCTCACAATAACAGAAGTTATCTGTTTAATGCCTAGAAGAAGGTGCTGGAAACAGACATCTCAGAAGCTCTGCATACTCTCAGCACATAAACTGTCCTTACTGCGGTGCATACAGGGTACACCGTCAATGCTGCCATCTTATTTTTTCTTCTCCCTTTCCACTTGACTTTCTCCTTCTACTCTCTTCAAATCCTCCCCCACCCTTCACCACAAGGCTACCAACCTAGGAGGCCCTCTGAGATTTTTTACCCTGCTTACAGCATGCCCCGCACACATATATACTGTTGAGGGATCATTATTTGTTTTACAGAAATAAGACATTCACATTTTTCTTCATAACATTTTTCTCACTAAACAATACATCATGGGAAGCCCTCCGAGTCCCCTGGGTCTGACACTAATGCAGCATTTTCCTGCTCACATAATAATTCATAGCATAGATGTACCATACTTTTTCAACGGTGCATTCATTTTTGTTTCTAGGTCTTTGTTCTCACAAACATTATGTAATAAACATATATAACATATTATACCATTTATACTTTGTATTTAATTCTATGGGATGGATTCCCTAAAGTAGGGTTGCTTGGGAAAAAGTTATGAGTATTTTAAGTTTTACCAGATTCTGTTTGGTTGCTTTCTTAAAAGGTTCTAATCATTTTCTTTTTTCTTCCCAAAGGACAAGGTAATCTTTCCTCTGCTTTCTTATCAGTAACGGGTGTTATGTTATACTTAATATTCTCTAGTCTGAAAAAATTAAAGATATTAACTCTTTAAAAAAATTTACATTTCCCCAACTACCAGTGATTTTGATCATGTTTCCATATATTTGTTGAACATTTGGATTTGAAAACATCTAGTCAAGTCCTTTGTACTTTTTCCATTCATGTTTTATCACCTTTTCTAAGAGTTCTTTGCATATAATAGATATCAACTCTGTCTTCCTGTAATAAAATTTCATCCAAATGCAATCTTTGTCTACTGGATTTCTTTATGGTTTCTTTTGCTATATAAAAGCTTTTAATTTTTATATGGTTAAGAATAGCTTCTGAGTGTCCAATTGTGGTTATGAAGTTTTTAGGAGTTTCTTCAGAATTCTTACAGTTTTATTTTTCACATTTAAGTTTTACTATATCTGAAATTTATTGACTATGTGGTTTAAGATTGGGGTCCAATTTTATTTTTTTTCCAAATAAAGAATCAGTTGTGAGAACACAACTAATTAATCCAAACTTTCTACTAAACTGAAATACCATCTTTGACATTTATTAAATTCTCACATATGATAGACCTAGGATTTAAAACTGGAATCTTGTTCTAGATTCTCTGGCTTATTTGTCTAGTTCTATGTTAATATCACATAGATTTGCTTACAGTGGCTTTATAGAATAGCCTAATGTTTAGCAAAGATACGTTTACCCTTTTCATTGCCCTTTTTGGACATGCATGCTCCCTACTGAGGATAGAGCCCGCAACCTGGACATGTGCCCTGACCGGGAATTCAACTGTGACCTCTTGATTCATGGGTCAATGCTCAACCACTGAGCCACAATGGCAGGGTGTCCTTAATTTCTTATTTAAAACTAGAGGCCCGGTGCATGAAATTCATGCACAGGTAGGGTCCCTAGGCCGGGCCGGCGATCAGGGCCAATCTGTGGGGTGACTGGCAGGGCGATCAGGGGGGCTCCCCGCTGGCACCCACCTTGGCTGGCCTGGGGCCTGCGGGCAGCTCCCGTGTTGAGTGTCTGCCCTCTGGAGGTCAGTGCGCGACATAGCAACTGGTTGTTCTACAGGTTGGGCAATTTGCATATTAGGCTTTTATTATATAGGATGACACAGTTTTAGAATTTTACCATTTATGACAACATGTCTTATAAAGAATCTGCATTATGTTATTTGGCTTCTTTCTTTCCTATTTTGCTTAGAGTTCTTATTTTGGGAATGGCAGCTGAATTGCCTCAAATACTTTTTATCATGTTTTTCTTTTTCTTTTGTGGTTGATACAGTGATATTTAGAATTTTAAAATTTATTTTGAACTCCCTGTAAAATTTATTTCAACTTTACTTGGTCAAATATTTTATTTTTTTTTATACACTCTTGAACTCTATTTGCTGATGTTTTACTTAGAATTTTTGTATTTATGTTTTTAAGTGACACTGGCTAATAAGTACTATAGTTTACTTTAAGTTATGCTGTCTTGATAAAACTAAATAGTATAAATTTTCTGAAACAGTTTAAAAACAAAGTTATTGCTTCACTAAAAAAATTAATAAAATGTATCTGAAATCCATCTGATAATGCTAGTTTTTGTCACTACTGGCCTCTGTACTCTTATTCTACCCATAAAATAAAATGCTGTAGAAATTTGAGATACTAGAATAATAATGAAAGTCCAATGGGACAGCATTCATTCATTATTTGGAGAGATGTAAGTGTTTAAGTCAGTTTACTGCTGTTTCATCTGCTATAAGAGTTAAACTGAGAAGCAGTGATGTGCTACTTTAGCTGCCTTTGGGACTCAAAGAGGAAAAAAAAGCATAAGTACTGCTTAAAGAAAACGGAAAGAAGAACCCAGTGCAGAAGAGGAGTCACCAGCAAATGCCATACATGTCACAAACTGTCTTGCACTGGGTTTTTGAGGAGTGATTCTGGAGTAGAAAAAATTTCCAAATAGTATATTATTGAAATAATAATAGTAAAATTGAAACATGGACTAATGTGGATTAGATAAGAGTACTGTGTCCTTGTTGAATTATCAGATTTTTGTTATTACACTGCAGTTATCTAAGAGAATTATCTTAGCAATTATGCAATAAAGTATTAAGTAATAAGGGGCATAATGTCTTAATTTACATTCAACTGCTTCAGAAATAAATGTGTTCACAGGAGCATGTGCACATGTGCCTGTGGGCAAACCTCCATGTTCTCAAAAGCTCTGGTCCTCTCACCATGACTGAATCTGAAGATCAATGACCTTCCCTTCTGACCCCACTTCACAGATCCTAGACATTCAGGTCCCTCCCCACTCTCTACCACCTCTCCAACAATTGTACTGTGTACGCCATAGAAACTTAGGGCCATTTAACCTTGAAATTCCTTTCTCTGCTGCAATATTCTCTTCGCTATAGACTGGAGAACCAATGTAGATAAAAAATATTCCCAGCCCTACTGATCAAAGATCTTTGTGAGTCTTTAACCATTTGAGTGCCAACCAATATCCTAGGAACTATGCTAAAATTGCCAAGGCATTTTTGCTGATTTTACAGCAGTTTAGGAAAAAAATTATGAATCGCAAGTAAATGAAGTTACATATTCAAAAACTTAAGGAAATCTTTACTACATTTGTTTTCATCTTTGACATATATTATTTGCTGATTCTATTATAAAATACTAGTAGAAAAAAAATTTGAACAAAACATATAATGTTAAAATGAAATTAAAGCGCCCCGGCGCTTTTGACGAAAGACAGGAGGAGCGCAATCGTGCTCCCCAGCACTCTAAGGGTTAATGTGCATAAGCATCACTAGAAAAATTCATTTAAAATTCAGTATCTCTGAGAAACTCTGTTAAGTTGGGTCAGAGATCAGGAATCAGCATCTTTAAACAAATCCTAGTTATTCTCATGCAAGTGGTCTGTGGACCATATTTTGGCCAATACTATCCTATAGCCAGCCTATTAGCAGCTTATGAAGAGTAGGCTCACAATTTAAGTTTTTTAATTAATTTGAATTTCCCAGGACTGAATGGAACTAAAAAATAATCCAGCTCTTATACCCTGAGCATGAAAATAGGGCTAATCCCCATTTGTCATTTAACCAGGTGATGTGTATTCCAGTTTTGGCTTTAGCTCTAAATCACAGTCTCCCAGGTCTCAGCCTCTTGTTTCTAAATACATATGTGGGCATGGGTTTGGCCCTTTCCAGCACTAAATCATTATGGAGCAGTCAGCATATTTCCCCCTAAATGGTCGCATAATTTTAACCTGCTCAAAACAGTTTTAAATCCTGCAAAGTTAACAATCTGTCCAAGGGGAGGTGCTTGAGTCCTTATCCATGTGGTAGGTGGTTGGAGTAGCTTTTCTAGTACAGGTGATAAATGAACATCAATTCAGCCCTGCTCTCACCACCTGTCACCTTTGTATTTTTGGGTGTAAGTATTAGCAACAAACTTATTAGTGCACTTTGTGGTGAGTAACACAGTACTGACCAATGCAGTGTATACTCAAGATCCAAACTCACTCTCAGTGTCATCGTAGTCTACATATCTGACTCTCTTAGTCTTTAAACTGCACAGGACTGAGGCAACCTGCTGTATGTAGTATTCTATACCTAGCACCTAATATAGTGGCTACTCAAAAAAAAAAAAGAAAAAGGAAGAAAGGAAGGAAAGGAGGAAGGAAAGAAGGAGGGTTAAATATATGGACACCTTGAATATCCAGCCACAAATGTATATTCAAGCTGTAAATATTTATAGCACCACAATATATATTATTGTTTATTATTTATGTCTGGTAACTTCCATTTATACCTATCTATGATGAAGCAGAGAATGTCAGAGTTAGGGTCCAAAACAAGTGTGAAAGTGCAACTCAAAAAACCTGCCACACTGGGGTGTCTAAAGCACTTAGTACAAGCCCCTCAGCTCCCCCTGCCAGTAACACACAAAGCTAAGTAGCTACTTAGTCATTTAAGCTTGTAGTTTATATTTATTTACAGCTTTTGCACTCATTATAGTCAACTAATATAAAAAAAACTTAAAGATCATTAACAAACATCAAATAAACTGATTACCATTCACCACAGGAGCTGGAAGTCAGAATTCATTATTTTAGCACTAACTGTGAAAGGAAACATCCTTCCACAGGACAGATACTTTTAAGAAGGACAAAAAGAACACTAGATCACATCCTGTATGCTCATATATCTATGTTTAAGAATTCAGAAATAAAATCACAAAGTGGAATGAGTTTAGATATAGTTCAGAAATTTTCTCAAGCTAAAAACTAGAAAATGTTGCACAGGCATTCAGTAAGGAGGTAACAAGGGTCCATTATCAAGATATATGGGTTAATAATTTCATGGGGTTATTCAAGAATGATCTGCTATGATTGAAACCATGTGTGGAGAGTTTGGGCTTCTGCAGGATGTGTCGCAGCAACAAAAGGCCTTAAAGATGTATTTGTGCTGCCTGCTATGTATACAGATGATGGACTTAGATACACTTCCCAGACATAAACAGTAAAGGAATGTCACTGAAGTTGTGTGTGCTATCAGACAGAGATGGAGAATGCTTACCACATTGTACAAGCCGATGCACCAACGTTCAAATAAAATCTGCCCAGAAAATCCATTTACAAAGGCGAACCAAAGCTGAAAGAGAAGAAAGTTCATGAAGTTTTATATCAATATTGACCTAAATGTTTCCATTCACTGAAGAAGTAGCGGGAATGTGGACCACCAGCTGGACACAGCTGCTGAGGGATAAAAAGCCACAGGACCGTAGCAGTTGTTCTTTCATAAAATATAAATTCCCAATATAACAAATACCAGTATTTTAAGGATAATTTATATTTAAGGCATACAGTGATTTCAAGTGATAATATGCACATATTAATAGAAAAGCAATTGATGTTTAATTTATAACTAGTATGTTTTGTGTCAACACTTTTTCACTGACTGGAAGAGTCTCAACTTCACGTTCCTTTTCCCGATAAAGTTGATTGGATAAATAAAATTTATCTTTGTAGGACTTTCAAATAGATAAAAAATTAAATGAAAAACAACAAGAATTCCTCTGTTGGTCAAATGTGCTTTTAGCTCATAAAATGCTGACCCTCCATAATCGAACATCCACCGCTGTAGCAAAGGCGAAAGCATGATGTATGGAAGAAACATGCTTAAATCATGTTTTGGAGCAACATGGGTTGTATAAATAAATAAAATGGGGATGATTATTCAAGTCTTCAAGTAGTCTATAATTCTAATTGATTAGGCAAGACTGACATAAAAACTACTACAGAGTGAAGTGCCAGGGACATGCATGACAAGTAAATAAAACTATTTTAGAGAAGGGATGATTGCTCGGGTGTAGTAATTCGGAGAAGACGTGGAGGTGGTAAGAGTGGAGTAGAACAGGGCAAGCCATCAGGTTGAAGAACAGGAACCTGACTTAGAAGGGAGTGAATACAGAAATAGGAAATACAAACTGCTGCTATTTAAAATTCAGCTAAATTGATATGCTACAACAGGACTCCAAGGATTTTGGGTAGACCTTAAAGTATTTCATGCTAATCTGAGAATCACAGATTTCAGTGGTGTAAAACTGTGGCAGACTGAATCTTACCATGGTGGAACACTAGCAACACAGAACAGCTGTCCCACAATAATCTGGGTTGAGATAAAGTCTGCTACTGAAATTGTACTGAATCAGAATTTTCAACATCAGTTTCTTGACTCCACCAGACTAAGTTTCTTGAGATAGGAATTATTCCCTATCCTGTGCAACTGTACACAGTATACGATACTTGGTGCAAATAGGGACTCACTGAGTTCCAGTGGGATCAAATAAATACCTCAATTCAATTGCCAGATGAAGTTTTCTTAGGCACAGCTTTCATCATCTCATTTCCTAGTTAAAAACCAAACAAAACAAAACAACAACAAAAACACCCAACTATTAGGGATCCCTCCTAAATCCAAATAAGCTTGCTGCTCTTTAAAAATCCTTCCACAAACTATCTCCCAAGAGGTCCCCATGAGGCCTGGCTATTCTCAGTGAAGACATACTAGTGGAGAACTAAGAATTCAGAAGTTTGTGTTGTGCTCTGTACTCAAAATATTTTACAACACCTATTCTAATATTAGCTCTTCCTAAAATGACGTTTCAATCACACTGCCACCCTACCACTCGAGGCCTTGGCAAATAATCCTTCAACCAAACTTTCAGTGCAATGGAGCCTGGATCCATACCTGATTCAAACAAATTTGTAAATTGTTTCAAGGGTTTTAACTAATTTTCCAAGATTGCGCTGTACATCTAAAGTCTCTTATTCAAACAACTGAGCAAACATTGATAAATATTTAGTAAACACTATTTTACTGCTTAATTCAGCAAATTTTATTGTCTTTTGTTGAAGGTGGAGTAGTGATATTTCTACTGCACTCCCCTCCCTAATATCAATTGAAATTAGCAAAAATAATTGAAAATAGAAAAGAAATAAATACTTTTAATGACACTATGAGAGAGCCTTAATTAAAACTACAAATTACATAGAATAGAAACTAGCATGACAAGATCAAGGGAGCATGCCAATAGTAGACAAAACCTACAAAGCCAAAAGATTTCTAAGAAATGCATGAAACAACCCAAGAGATAGCTGAACCAATTCTTATTTAGAGGATGGAATCTAGAGGTAGGGACAAGTCATGGCTGTAGCTCCTGGACTGATTGAATACAGCAGGCAAATTAAAATTAAAGGACACTGTAGGCCTTTTCTCTTTTCCTCTACCCAAGAAGCAAGTGAGGAGAATGTCAGGGTAGAGTAGGGAGTATAGATGGCAATCAATTTAGCAGACACTTGGCAGATATCTGAAAAGAAATAAATGTAAAATCATGTAACAAAAAACCCATAACATACAGAAAATCACTGTCAGGCATACAGGCTTCTGACTCACTCAAGGAGAAGAAATGGTGAGGGAAGTGCTTACTGCAGAAAAGTGATGGGTTACCAGCATGGAAGAGACAAAAAATTGATGAAAAAAAATGTTCTGAGACAAATTTAAAGCCATCTTTCTTAGACATCAACAAAAATAATAAAGAAAAAAAAACACTGACAGAAATCATATGAAACAATCTCTACAGAAAAACCAGATCACTAGGCAGAATAAAATTTTGAATGCTCTTGGTGATCCTTTGAGAGCTTTAAAAAAAGTATGCGTTTTCATTTAAATAAGAGCTTAAATTAGATATGTAAGCTATCAAAGAAGGAAACAAATAAGAAAAGATTCAAGCTACATGAAGGAAAATAAAACCCAGAATTGATACTGATGAATCCACAATCAGGGACTCACAGTCAGGATAGAGTAGGCTTGTGAAAACAAGTGCTGGCCAAAGGGCAAAGTTTAACACTGATTTTAAGAGAAACTGATAACCTTTCAAAGATGATTTTTAAAAATTCCAAAAAGGTGTACCTTAAACACACACACACACACACACACACACACACATACACACACACACCAACACAACAGAACAAGTAGAATAGAAAAAATATTCAAAGATATAGCAGAAGAAAGTTTTCTGAAATATTCTAAAACCTTAATCAGCCAACAAAGAGGATACCCTTTGTCCCCAGGAAACAAAACAACAGATACACTAGTAGAAAGATCAACACCCACACATATCCTGATAAGTAAATTCATGAGTTTTAAAATTCTATAAGATCAAATCTTTCTTATAATCCTCACCCAAGAATATGTTTTCATTAATTTTGAGAGAGAGAGAGAGAGAGAGAGAGAGAGAGAGAGAGAGAGAGGCCAATGTGAGAGAGAAACATTGATTGGTTGTACATGTCCTGACCGGGGATTATACCGGAACCTTTTCATTTATGGAACAATGCTCCAACCAATTAAGTCACCCAGTCAGGGAAAATCTCTAATATAATCAGGCAAGAAAGCAATTAACCTGCAAAAGCAAGTTGGCTTCATCTTTCTCTCTAGCAGTACATAATACCAGAAGCCAATAGTGGATGTTTACAATTCCTTAGGGAAATAAAACATGCCTAGAATTTTAGCAAAATACAGAAACTAAGGAAATAGTAAAAATTGAAAATATTACATAAAATGTGATGATAAAAATATGTTCATTATATTAATAATACAAAAAATTTTTAAATGTTCAATTGATATAAAATAAAGCTCAAAATATATGCTATGTACAAAAGAAACATGTCCAACAAACATGAAAAAGAAACACTATTTGAATAAGATCAAATCCATAACCCTGAATTAACAAAGCCCAATAGATGAGGTTGTCACCTATTGTTCTGAAAACACTGCTTCTCCTTCACTAAACTACAATGGCCTTCTATTGGTTCCTTGCAAGTACCAAGTATGGATCCAGCTTTATATTTTGTACCCAAATATGAGGCAATTATGTCAATAGCATTTGGTTAATAAGCCATCTTTATCTTACTTGTTTGAAATGCCCTTTATTATATAATAGATTATCATGGTATTTATAGAAATTTATATAGTATTTTGGTCTCACTTCATATATTCAAATTAATTATAGATGGCTTGAATATTTAAATACAAAAACAAAATTCAAAGCATTAGGAGGAAACATTTAAAAAAGTTTTTTATATATGAAGTTGACTCTCTATAGACATGGAACTCAGAAATTGTACAAAAGAGGAGTCATTTGAAACAGTTCATTGCTGAGAGAATAAAAATAAAGTTGAGAACAAATTAATAAATAGTGCAAACATCTATAACATCTATGAAGACAAAGGCCTAAATTTCCTATATAAAGAGTTCTTACAAATGAGAAAGAAAACTGCTGACAAACTGTTAGGGAAACAGGCAAAGAACATATGCAGTGTGATCACAGAAAAAAAATTATAAATATAGAAAACTTCACTTTTCTTGAAAAATACATACACGTGTGTGTGGACACATACACTGATAACATTTTTTTTTTTTTAGATGAACAAAGATTTGAAAGTTTGGTAACCTGAGGGAATAGTTACCCTCATATCCAGTCATTGTTTACAAATATGTTTAATGTACTTTTCCTTTGACCCAATGATTCTACTTTTAGGAACATACACTAAATTGCATCTTATAGTTATAATTACATAATATTCAATATGAAAATACAAGGGTATTTACTATAGCATTATTGGAAAGATAAAAAATTAGAACCTATATTTACACTGATAGCTGGTTAAATGAATTATAGTTCATCCATAACAATAAAACACTATGCAGACATTAGAAAGACTATTATAAATCTGTTAAGTGCTATAACATAAAAAATCTCACAGATATATTATTAAAATGAAAAATATCAAGGTATATGTTGAATAGTCATGATTGTACAGCATAGATGATATGCTCATATACATGCTAACTTTTTGGAAGATATAAGAAATTGTTACTATTCGTTGCCTTTAGATAGCAGAAGTGTTCTCTAGGCGGTAGGATGGAGACTCTCTTATACTTCTTGTACTGTTCTGAACTTTTAAAACATGTTCATGTTTTATTGATATAACTATTTCAAGCAGTAATTCTCAACCAGAGTTCATTTTGCTTTAAGGAGACACTTGACAATGCCCGGACACATTTCTGAGGGTGTATTGGCATTTAGT